TCTCCCCACGGTGACTGAGGACCTCTCCCCACGGTGACTGAGCCCCCAGACTTCTCCCCACGGTGACTGAGGACCTCTCCCCACAGGGACTGAGGACCCAGACCTCTCCCTACAGGGACTGAGGCCCCAGACCTCTCCCCAAGGTGACTGAGACCTCGGACCTTCAGTTTTATGTAACTTAATGAAGAAACGTGAACAGCCACGTGTGGCTTTGTGTCCCACAGCAAAGCACCTGGTGCTTCTCGGGGTCTGGCTGGCCTGGGATGGGGAGGTCAGTGGCCTCAATGTGGGGGCAGTGGTGGCTCAGGCCCCCTACAGAGGAGATGGGCACCTGGAGGTGAGATCCCTGGAGGTGGGGAATCGAGGGCACAGGGGTCTCAGCACCCTCAGTTGCCTGCCAACCCCCAAGTGACTGATTTGGCGCACGGGGCCGCATCCCTGGGACACCCTCGCACCAGGACGGCAGAGGAGCCCCGTCTTTGTCTCCCCAGGATGAACGTCGGGCCCCAAGCTGCGGGCACAAGCCAGAGCCACAAGGAACCTGACACATCCAGCCCTTGAGGCCACGTCCCCAGCGCCCACCCATCCCTATTTCACAGGCAGAGAAGCCGTGCAGTGAGTTCACTGGACTCCAGCCTGGGCCGGACCCACTGCTGAGGCAGAGACCCTCCCAGAGGCAGGGGTCTGATATGCTGCTTATCCAGTGGGCACACCGAGGGGCAAGGGTGGGGGGCGTGGGTCCGAGACACCCCCTGGCATGGGGTTAGTATCTCAGCAGGTCACACCCATGTGTGTGATCGCGTGTCCCGTGGGGCTGCAGACGTCCCATCCGTGGGACTGTCTGTGTTGCTTATCGTGTATCTACAAAGCTGTGTTTTGTTGGTGCCTGTGTCTGCATGGGGGAGGTGGAGGATGCCACTGCCCACCCCCCGAACTCCCAGGCACCCGCACACACACGTACTCCCACGGGCACACACGTGCGCACACACACAGGCCAAGCACCGGCCAGGACCTGGGGCCTTTCATCTCTCGCTGACAGGCCCCTCTCCGGCTCTTAGCCTGGGAGAACCCCCGACTAACAGTGCATTAACCTTGGGGGGCTGCCAATTACTTGCACCAACACGGGGCACAGCGCGGCTGACGGGTCCTGACAGGCAAAGGGGATGAAGGCAGCAGAGCTCCTCTCCCTGCCCGAGGGGGCGGCGGCGGCTGGGCTGGGGGCCGCGGCATGTTCTGACTCCGGATGGCAGAGCGCGGGTCTCTCCTGACCTCATTAGAGTAATTAATGTGCCTTTTGAAGCTGGTGAAAACGCTCAGAGCTGTGGGACGGGGGACGCAGATCACAGGGTGGGGGCCGGGGCCGGTGTCTCTGTGCCTGTTGAAATCATGTCCCAGAGGGTCAGACACGGAGATAGAGACGGACACAAAGTGAAGGAGGCAGATGGAGAGATGCGAACAGGAGAGTTTGGAGACAGACGCGAGGGCCAGACGGATGGGGAACAGCAGACCCCGGGGCACAGGTGTCACCTGCTTGTCCCCAGTCCCACACAGTCAGGGCGAGCCAAGCTGCCCTCCCCCGCTGCAGTCTCGGGGGCCTCTCTCGGTCTGTGGCCTCACTTTGAGGGTTACTTCCCCAACCCTCCCTGTAGGATTCCCCTAAAGAACAGGGTGGGGTGGGCAATCAGAGAGGACTTCCTGGAGGCGGCGGCTGAGAGCAGAGCAGAGGACCCGGGTACTGGAGGGGGAAGGTGAAACGTGAGCACAGTCCTGGCAGGGTCTGGTCAGACAGAGATGCCCAAGGGAGCAGATGGTACCAGGACAGGGGACCCTGGTCTGAGGGGGCGACAGCCCCTCCCAACCCTGGCAGTGGCACAGGCAGGGTCGGCACAAACCCGAGGGACTGCCCATCCCCTGGTGGACGTGGGGACACGGTGGGCTCAGGAAGTGGGGGGACAAACGGGCTGTGCCGGACCGGCTTTCCCACTTGAAGGGTTAGGACCAGGGAGACAGCGAGGGGACTGGGCGGCCCAAGGCTGCCACCTGGTGGCGGCTCCTCCTCACGCCAGGGCAGTGGCGGCTCCAGCTAGGTTGCCTGGGGGAGACCTCAGGCTGTGGGTACCCACCTACCATGGGCTCTCCAAGGCTAAACTCGTGGGGGACAGGGGGACAGGCCAGAGCTGGACTCCGCACAGACACAGACCCCTGCAGGAAGAACAAAGCCCCAGGGAAGCTGATTAAGCGCCTTGCCGGGGATGGGGTCTCAGGCTCCACGTTCTACAGCAGACTGATGTGGGAGGAGTGTCCGGCATGGGGGCCCAGGCCACGGGGAACTCCAGCCTCCTACAGCACAGCTCTGGGGCTCCCCGGAATCATGGCCAGAGGTATCCGTGAGGTGATGTGGGGATCCTCCAGGGAAGGGCCCATGAGACCCAGGCTGAAGATGGCATAGAGAAGGGGGCCTGCAGCAGGGGCTCTGACAGATGGAACAGGAGTTTCCTCTAGGAAAAGAGGTGCTCACAGGCAGGGCCTGATCCCAGGCAGCTGGAGTTGGGTTCCTCACTTGGGGGCAAGGCTGGAGAACCCAAGCTTGGTTGCAGACAGACCAAGGCTGGCTTGAGCCCTGCTCCACCACCCACCCCGCACTGGCCGCACCAGTATGCACGGGCCTGGAGGTGGCACGGGGTCAGCACCAGCTGCCGAGACATGGCTGCATTTATTGTTCCCAGCCCAGTGGGAAGGCGCTCCCAGAAAGGTCCCTTGGGTCACCTGCCCACCCAGCCTCGGTTCTGGGCTGCCATGCCCCCGCGGGGACAGGGGAGACACACAAGTCACAGTCAGGCAAGGGGGCCTCAGAGTCCTGGGCAGCGGCTGTCGGGGCCCGTCCGGTCTTCACCTGGGACCCTCGGCCAGGCTGGGGCAGCATCCAGGAGGCGAGGCTGTGTGGTCTGGCGGTAGGTGCAGGTGGCAGTAGGCAGGCAGGCTGCACAGGTTCCAAAAAGAGCTCTCGGGCTGGCACTGGGTGAGGCCAGCCCCAGGGCCAGCAGGGGAATGAGCGGTGGAGCGGGGGGTTGCTGGGCACTGGGGTGGGTCCCATCTCCTGTCCTTCCCTCATGGCCGCTGGAAAGGCCGCCTCCCTGGCTCAGCATCTGGAAGCAGGGGGTCAAGGGTGAGAGGTGAGGAGTGAAGGGCGCACCCTGCCGGGCAGAGGCCCACCCAGGTCAGGTAGGAGCAGGCAACCTGGCCAGGCCCCCTCAGTCCACCACGGCCCACCCTTCCTCCCCTGGCCTCCTGGGCCCTGCTCAACTGCCCACCGTGGGGGAAGAGGCCCCCAGCCAGGAGGTAGAAAAAACCTGGGAGGGGCTCCCAGAATGGAGTAAGACCTTGGGGAGGGATCCCAACGCCACCCTCCCTGGGGGCTCGAAAAATCAGCGCTGTCCCCAGAGGCCGCCCTGTCCCCTGGTCTCCCAGCCTCCATGCCTGCCACCCCTCAACAGGCCAACGTCCCCCCAGCAGCCACACTGCAGCACAACATAGCCATCAATCCCTGCCCAGAACCCTGCTAACCCAACACCTGCCTGTACACCCAGGCCTACCCCAGCCCGCCAACACCTGCCCAGCCTCCACCTCTGTCCCTGCTGTTCCCTCGGCCTGAGATACTCTTCCAGGAGCCAGCCCCATTACACACCAGGGAGAGGCCCTCCCTGACGCTGCCCGCTCAGAAGCATCCTATGGTCAATTCTGCACCTGACTCAGACCTCGTCTCTCAGAGAGGGGCCCAGATCGAGCACCCACTACCCTAAGCCCTGCAGCCGCTTTCCTGTCTTAAAGATGCAAGAAGGCTGAACGCGGTGGCTCACGCTTGTAATCCCAGCACTCTGGGAGGCCAAAGCGGGAAGATCACCTGAGGTCAGGAGTTCGAGACCAGGCTGGCCAACATGGAGAAACCCTGTCTCTACTAAAACTACAAAAACTAGCCGGGCATAGTGGTGGGCACCTGTAGTCCGAGCTACTCAGAAGGCTGAGATGGGAGAATTGCTTGAGCCTAGGAGGTGGAGATTGCAGTGAGCAGAGATCATGCCATTGCCCTCCAGCCTGGGCAACAAGAACAAAACTCTGTCTCAAAACAAAATAAAAACTTAGGTCAGGTGCAGTGGCTCACGCCTGTAATCCCAGTTCTTTGGGAGGCCCAGGCACGTGGATTACCTGAGGTATGGAGTTGGAGACCAACCTGGCCAACATGGTGAAATCCATCTCTACTAAATACAAAAAGTTAGCCAGGTGCGGTGGTGGTGGTGGGTGCCTGCAATCCCAGCTACTTGGGAGGCTGTGGCAGAACTGCCTGAACCCCGGAGGCAGAAATCACAGTGAGCTGGGATTGTGCCACTCCACCTCAAAAATAGATAAATAAAAAATTTAAGTTACAAAAAAAAAAAAAATGTAAATAGAGACTGGGAGAAGGAATGAACCCTGCCCAGGGAGACCATGCCCTGACCACTGCTGTCAGCTGTGATTGCAGGGACCACTCCATCGCTTGCCCAAGTCACCAGATCCTGCTGAGTCTCCAGCCCAGCCTGCCCACCGAGGCCCCAGAGCTGGGGAAGGGTGCACACCATCTCAGATTCCTCGACTCAAAGACCGTCTCCTCATCGCTGTCCAGCGAGGCCATCTCGGTGGGGTCCTCGGTGTTGGCCAGGAGTCCATATCGCCTCCGCTGAGGCTTCTTCAGCCTGGAAGTAGGTCCAGGCATTGTCAATGGTCCCTCCCTGCCAACCCTGCCTCCTCCTTCCCTCAGGAGCCTCATTGCCATCCGCTACCGGATCCCCCAGCCCTGCTGCAGACCTCCCTGGTTTTGCTGTGCCTGTTTCTTTCCCGTCCTAATCGCCAAGTGATTACCACTCTCTCCCAAGGCGGTGACAGTCAGAAAACACGTGCCCTAGCAGGCCCTCCCATCTCCCCTGTGCCAGGACCCCAGAAGAGGCACGCTGATGTCACTCCCGTTGCACCGATGAAAAGACTGAGGCTCACACAGGGGTGAGGTTTCGCCAAAGACAACAGAATGGAAGGCTGTCTCAGGGCCAAGCCACTGGTGGCCCCAGCAGCCAGGGAGGCAGGGACGGTGCAGGGCACAGGCAGAGAAGAGCGCCCAGCAGGTGCTTCCACAGGAAGGGGTGTGGAGTACCGAGGAGGCTCTGCACAGGGCCCCTAAAAAGCAGCATAGCCGGCCGGGCGCGGTGGCTCAAGCCTGTAATCCCAGCACTTTGGGAGGCCGAGGCGGGAGGATCACGAGGTCAGGAGATCGAGACCATCCTGGCTAACATGGTGAAACCCCGTCTCTACTAAAAATACAAAAA